TGTCTTAGCTTGCAAAACTTGTCGTTTTGAGAGTTGTCTCATATTCATGTCCTTTCGCCATGTAGTGTCGGGAAAGCTCAACACGTCGACGAAATTCTATTTCAGTCCCAAAACATTGATTTGTCCATCTTTTCTGATTTTGCAATCTAAATCTCCTCCTTCTCTGTCTAATAGTTTTCTCAGTTCAGGGTCATTTGTAGTCCATTTCCTTGAATTCATTCCTGCACTACGAAAAATGTCCCTTCTTTGTACAGCTTTGACGATGTTGAGTATTCGTCGGCTCCTAGTAAGACATCATCGACGTAAATTCCTTTTCGGAGTTTCGCCACAACTGCAGGATGTTTCTTTTCGAATTTATCCAAATGTCGATGAATTGTTGCCGCTAAAAGATAGCTACTTGGTGTGGTGCTGAAAGTTACCCTCGTCATTCTCAATGTTTCTTTTTATCTTCGGATTTGACATATCTTCTCTGGATATCCTTTCCCACCACAGAAATTGCAGGGTGTCGCATTCATTTTTGTGTATTCCGATCTGTAAAAATGCTTTTTCCACATCGGATGACATGGCAATCTTGTGCTATCGAAAGTTCATCAGCAAACTTGTGATGTCGGGGTTCAGGTTTGGCCCATTTTCTAAGTTGTCATTCAGGGATTCCCCTGGGTTCTGGCTTGATGATGCGTCAAAGACGATCTATGCTTTTGTTCTTGTTAGGTCTTTCTTGATATCTGCCTGCTGCAGCATGTAGTAAACAAATTTGTTCTGTATATCGAATCTGGCAGCTTCTTCGACCTTTTCTGCTATTGCTTGCTCACAGGTACTCTTGGATAGCTTTGTCCTAGGCTTGGAGGTCATCTTTATCCTTGCCTAATTTCTTTGTCACCTGGATAAGCCTCTTCTCTGCAATGGTGTTATTGTCGTCCAACGTTACGTTTTCCTTCTATGGTAGCTGCACTTGGTATCTTCTTGTTTGGAACTCCATTGTTTGTTGGACGTAATCTAGCACATGGTCATCGCTCAGCTTTGTTGCTGGTTTCTTCTTGATTCTCACGGTTTCCAAGTCTCAGAATATTTGTAATTCATCAACGATCGTGTCTGACTTGGCACTGACCTTGAGTACCATAACCGTCGATGATTTCAGTGATATACAACGAAGTTCTACAGCACCTTGTATTATCCATACAAACACCGTTTATATCGCCATTACTTTTGGATGAATCTCACGAATGTGACCAGTGACTATGGTCTAGTAATAATCTGCTCCAATTAATATTGAAGTTTCCAGATTTTTGCTTTCATTGCCCATCTTCTTACTGTCATCAGCCAAACAAATTCCCATTGATCTTGCTTTTTTGTGTATTGTCAACGATGGCAATGGTAGTGTGTTAGCAGAATATAACTTCTATCTCCAGCATCTTAATCGTGACGTGTTCCGATGTAGGGTCCTTTTTCACGTTGACTTCGACGACCTTCATGTTGAGTTCCATCTCTCCTCCTCTAAATGATCCAACAGTGATCCTTTCGGATCTTTTTACTTTGCATCCCAGTTTTCTTGACAGTCTTTTGAGGATGAATGTCCTCTGGCTCCCTTTGTCCAACAGAATCCATGCGTAGCACCCGCGGTCTTCTCCTTCTGTCCACAGAAAGGCTGTCTGCAGTAGTATGCATTTGTGCTCTCCAGCCTGCTGTGCGTGCATGTTGCAGGACTTGCTGGTGTCTTACCAGTCAGGTTGTGTGCTGGTACGTATGTGCTCACCACTGCCGTTTTGCTGTTGAGCTTAGTTTTCTGCAGGCGCACGTGGTCGACACATGGATGTCGCGTGCCTCCCCTTGGATGTCTTGCAGCGCACATTAACACAACACATCTTCGCTGTGTAGAGAGGTCTGGTGCATCTGAAGCACCTTCGCTCCCGCTGCAAGGCTTCTTTCTTCTGTTCCATCGTGATGCTTATTCTGCAATCTTTTGTGTAATGTCCAGTCATCTCACAGAAGACGCATTTTTTCATCAAGGTGCTTTGAAGCGTATATGTTCTAGTCCGTTTCATGCTATGCGGTGACTGGGTAACGTCAAATTTTCCTTCACTAGCTTCTACTTTGCTGTGTATATATTTATATATATATATATATATATATATATATATATATATATATATATATATATATATATATATATATATACACACACACACACACACACACACACACATATATTTAAAAACTCTATAATATCTTTCTAACTGTGCATGCTCTCTTTTGACGTTGAGTCCGACTCCGTCGTTGCTGGTCTGTTGGCACCTTTTTCTATCTCCATCATCTCAATTCTCATGTCCACCGGTGGTGCAGATTTCACAACAGAAGTTATCACCGTAGCATAACTATCCATTTCCACTCCTATCGACTGTGTGTTCACTTGCAACTTCTGGAAAAGTTTCTTCAATTCATCTACATCTTTGGGACTCTTCACTGCTTCCAAGTTTGCTAGCTCTTTTATGTATGTCCCTCTTAAGTTATCTTGTCATCTGAATATTTCTTTCAAAAGAGTGACTGCATGCTCGTAATTCTGATCAGAAAACTGCAAACCTTCAAATAGGGACGCAGCCTCTCTACTGAGAGATTCCAGAAGGTAATTAAATTTCTGACTATTCGGCATGTTCAGTCTGTCATGCACTGATGTCTCAAACTGATGCCAAAACATCGGCCACGCCGTTTTTAAAGACTTCGACGCAAACATTTTGGTCTGTCTGTCTGTACATTTGTATGTTTGTCCGCTTTTAACAGTACTCTAAAAGGCATCAGACGATACCCCAAACAGCCGGCCCCATCCGCAGCGCCTATCATTTTTGCTCAAGATTCAGCGTTCATACTTGTGCGATTGTCAATTGAAAAGTGATTATTGCGCATATCTGAAGCACCATAACAGTACTTCAATATTCTGTATGTGTGTATTTTACTAGAAAAAGCATACATTAGTAATTCTAAGGACCGTAGCGTTTATCACGCTGCGCTGACCGTGCAAGGCTTGCACAAAAAGGCAAGTGTTTCCAACGGTTTGCTAAAACGACATGGTGGTGGTGGTACCTACCCATCGCCTTGCGTTCTACACCTTATCACCTCCGAGACGGGCGCACACGCCGCGCGCTTCATTTTGCAAGATAACTGCCAGATAGCGCTCATGTCTCACGTGTGACGTGACTTGTTGCGCCCGTTCGCTTCCGCTGCACGATAGAGGCACTCTTAATGCAGCGCCTCCAGAATACCATTCACCGATTTTCTTGCGCAGAATATCAAATAAACGTTTTGTTCACTTTGTCCAGGCGCAAGACTATCGTCCTTCGTCGACATTTGCAGTGTAACATGCAGATACAGGGCGAATTTTTTTTTTTTCCCCATCAAGCATGATCATCTCAAGGCGTGGCAACTTAAGCTCTAGCGTCTCCGAGATGTGGTTAGTACCTTGCACAGACCTCGCCTGTCCTCTCACAATTCTCGTAGTCAGTTGCATCGCTTCTACCAACTCTCGTAATCACTCCTCTTCTTTGTCGTTGCGGTGACTATCTTCATCTCATACTGCAAAACTTTCAAATTCTGCCTCCGCATCTTCTGGAATGAGCGGTTCCATCTGTTGTTAAGTTGGCTTAGCTTCTGTGACATGCTCTTCATCTGGTTTAGAAGCATCATTAGTTGCGATCTATCGGCGTATTCTTCTACTTTATCCATTTCGCTTGTAAGCATTGTCACATTATTTGTAGTGTCTTCTGCTTCTTCGACAGGACGTCTTTATTCATGCTTAAAACTTGTTGAAAGAGCTCTTGCCTGTGTATGTGCCTCGCCAACAATTATCGGTCGTGGTTCTTCCCGCGGTGGTTTGTCATTGAACCAGACGCCGCTTTTTGTCTTAACAGAAGAGGCCTGTTAAGAAGTTCGTCTTAAACAGTTTTCATTTTGCTTTCTCTTGTTCTCCTGAATGCCCCCATCAAGACTATAAAGTTCATTGCACAGAATCCCCATCGTTGTTGGTCGCTGCGAGAGTTCGTCTTAACGGAAGAGGCCTGTTAAGCAGTTCATCTTACGCAGATTTTTTTTTTTTTAACACTGAGTCTATGGGAAACCAAACAAACATGTGTTGTTCATCTTAAGCAAGAATTCGTCTTAACAGAGTTCGTCTTAAAGGGAGTTCACTGTACGTATACTTCATTCAGCATTTTCAAGCAACATATTTGGGCGTACTTGGCTTGGCTTGACGAACAAATGATCGTGGTCTCTTCACATTCGTCTGATAGGGAGTCTACTGTACTGTAAAATCTCAAGCAAGTGCTCACCTTGTTGCGAAAGATAATCGGTCAATATTGAGATGGGTCTCCTGCTTGGTCCTAGACCAAAATGCAATATGACGGAGAAAGAACCTTCAAAAATTGTACACCTGTGCTTCTAATCAAATGCTGCATTAAATATGCAGACATTTACTGTTTTACAGGCCGGGGGCGGAGGGGGGATTCTCGTGTGAAAGTTGTGTTATGACTAAGAGAATGAAATTTTTCAAGTGTTTTGGCATTTGTAACTACTCAGCATGCAACCCCGAGGCACCGCTCTGTAAAATACTAAGAAATTCTGCACGTATCTAAAAGCATTGAAGACATATCTAATGGCATTAAAAACTCTCAGAACCTCTGCTGCGGGATTCCATTGCGAAGAACAGGTTGAAAGAAAAAAGAAAGATGGCAGGAGGGAAGGGAGAGTGCATGTTCAGTCATGTGTGCATATTTCGAATCTCCCGAAAAGTGGAAGGGGGCTCTTGGTTGTTCACTTGAGTGGTATTTTACAGTAACCTGCCCTATATTTTCCTTGGCCTGGTTTTGTCTGTTGGATCTCATTAATGCTCAACTAGAACAGCTACACATTTTGCTGCACAACTCTAGTATGTTTTGCTTGAGTGTAGTACATTATTTTTTGCTCTATATATGCTGGAAATGATTAACTTCCTAAACCTTTTCCTTTTTTTGTAGGTGTACACCATGGCTGTTTGTGGTGACAAGCTGATTGTGGGCACAGCCCAGCGAAAAGTGCTTGTATGGGACTTGCGAAACATGAGCTATGTCAAACAGAAGCGAGAGTCCAACCTCAAGTACCAGACACGTTGTATTCGCTGCTTCCCAAACCAGCAGGGATTTGTGCTGAGTTCTATCGAAGGTAGGTTTATCGCCCACATCATTGATCGTTGCCATTCTAATGGTACTACAGCTGTTAGTTTACTACTGTAATTTGCATCATGAACATTAGCCCACCAAGGCAAGTACAGTTTGTTGAGTAATCTTTTAACTGTCAGTATGTAGAAACTGTACCAAAATCGATTCACTCAATATGTGATCAGGACTTCTTAATAATTTCAACTGCCACACGCTGCTTCTCAAAGCAGCCTGTGGCAGCAGTTGAGGCACCTATTCACTTGCACTTTGCCCGGGTTCATAGAGTGAAATGGCCCTGTCATTTTTTCCATTTATCAGGGTGTGCACAAGTCCTTGAAATCTTTGAAAACCCTTGAAATTGAAAATTTCATTTTCAAGGCCTTTGAAGTCCTGGAATTTCGTTACAGTCCTTGAAAAACTCTTGAAATTGGGAATTTTAGCTGGGTTCAATTGTACGACTCAAAATTCACAGCAGTTGAGCATTGTACTGGGCAAACTTCATTCCTTATCGTGTTCCATGACAATGCGATTTCGAAATCAGGCATGGTCAAACAGCCTGTATTAGATTGGAAAGAAAAAGGTATGCATACTTGGTTTGGCTTTGGTTGGCCATAAGCCGTAAGGTGATGGCCACAATGGTGCTACAGCATCTTGAGCTCTCCAGAAAAAAGAAAAGTTGTGTGAATGTGCTTATTGCAGTAGACTACGATTAGGGTTTGAAATGTCTTCTTTTTGCTTCACACTTAGTGGTATACTTCAGCAAACTTTTAAAAAAAAAAACAATACATCACACTTACTAGCCTCAGTCAGCTGCCTAGCGCAGTCCATCAGCCTGCGAAAGACTGTGAAGGTTAAGACTGATGCAACTTGATAGCATTAACACGCAAATAGAAAAAAAAGACTGAAAGACCTGCCCAGAGCTTAGAACTTCTAGTCTAGTGAAGCTGTGTAATAAGTGAACTGAACATATTGTTGTTTTGCACAGCGAAATTTGCCATGAAAAACAATTGTGCTCCTTAAATTTAAATTTTTGGAAAGTCCTCTAAAGGTCCTTAAATTTTTCTCTTGTAAACCTGTACAAACCCTGATTTATGTATGCCATATGACATCTTCGTGCCGTACAATTTAGGTATTTCTCCTGTACACTAATGTGTTTGCGTCTTTAAAGAAAGCACATTGTCTTCAGTTTCAGTCCTGATAGACTGAACGTCCTGACAAACTGAATCCATTCTCTTGGTTACCCAACATACCATAGACGTTCCATCCCATCATGTTCACAGTCGATATATTTATCTTCTCCTGCCCCCCCCCCCCCCCCCCCTCAGAAAGCTGTCTGCACCTAATGTGGTTTCGCACTACCTCCAGGGTTGGCTATATTGCACGCTTTCTGCAGCTCACGTGGTTGTGCACTGCCTATCTGGTCAGGCCACCTTTGACTATGTGACGATGTCATGTGAATACGTCGTCTTGTGACATCACTATGCACGTCGCATATGTTGGTGATCTGTGAAGTAATATGGTGACCTCATAACAAGATGATTTTTTGCATCATGCGTGTTATCACTTATCGCATTTTTGGAGACATCTAAGGCTCTTTCCTTAGTAAAGCTTTCAGACGCATATCTCCCCATGAATCCTGAAGGGATTGGGAGAATATGGCGCATTTAACTGGAGTTTCATTTACTAAGAAAAATTTATAAGAAAGTAGCAGCCAAATACAAAGCCAGCCAAATTAGAGACTTTTTTTTTTTCTATTTACGAAATTTCTGTTTACCTATACTGTACTATAATTGTTCAGCAAGGAACGCAGAGGTATTGTTAAAAACAAGGTAAAGCACCAGTCTAGTGTGAAATGTTGGTGCTAGTGATTTTTTTTTTATTCAGATTTTCAAACAGGCTGGTTGCTTGTTTAAAAGTCAGTATAGAAAACCTGCTTTGCCATTTCAAATGCATGTTCTGATGTTAAAAAAAAAATAAAGATGTTGGTGGCTCATTCAGTGCATCTAAGTGCTCTTGTGCACATGTGCTTGGGAACTTTCCTTTTGGCTGGAATATAAACCATCAGTGTGTTGTGCTGCGATTTTGTGTCTCCTATTGCTGAAGTTTAAAGCACGCATGTAGGAGCAACAGACGCTCTTCTATTCAAATGTCTGTAGTATGCTTTAGGGGAAGCTGTTTAAACTACAAAAATATATTTGGTCACTTCTAAATACAAGACTTGGCTTTTGACGGTGTGACAGTAGAGTACAACAAGCACCGAGATATCGATGAGCCAAGACATGCATTCAACAGCTCTGAGGGCACGAGTCATAAAAAAACATGTCAACAGAAGTTGAATGTAGGTTACAGAACTCTCGAAGGATGTTTCTTCCTGTGCCATTTAAAGTAGTTAATAAGTTAGGACAAATGGTAACAAGGATCAGAACTGAACTTTCAAGTTCATTTTTTCAATGCTTTGAAGAGAAATATAAACGTGTTTGCCATTTATCACGGTGCTAAATTGTTTTATTTCTAACAGGACGTGTAGCTGTTGAGTACCTTGACCCAAGTCCTGAAGTTCAAAAGAAGAAATATGCATTTAAGTGTCACCGCATCAAAGATAGCAGTGGCATCGAGTTCATCTATCCAGTGAATGCCATTGCTTTCCACAATCGCTACAACACATTTGCAACAGGTGGAAGTGATGGACATGTCAACATCTGGGATGGGTTCAACAAGAAGCGCTTGTGTCAATTTCACAAGTATCCATCAAGTGTTTCTGCGCTGGCTTTTAGCCACGATGGCTCGCTACTGGCGATCGGTTCATCATACCTCTACGAGCAGGGCGTTTTGGACAGCAAACCTGCAGATGCCGTCTTTGTTCGTCGGGTCACCGATCAGGAAACTAAGCCGAAGTAACATTCTTGTAGATGGCTTAGCTTTCTTTTTATATGTGGCAAAAAATAAATATGTCTTTGTAACATGTACATATCGTGTGCATTTTAACAAGTTTGTTGCATTTTTTTTTTCTTAAAGGGACTGCCAGCTGATTTCTCAAGACCTATTTCTTTCCAGGGCAACCCAAACCTAGCCCTTCATATAGTGTTTATACATGCAGTAGTTAATTGCAAAAGCACGTAGTTAATTTACAAGCAGTATTTTTCGATCTGAAGGGCTCTAAACACAGATGTACCTTTCCTCCAGCAACGCTGAGAATTGATAGCGATGCCACCAGCCCTCCTTGCGACTTGGGAAAGCTGTCATCGTTTTGCTTTCGCAGGAGTTCCAGTAAATATGCATAACAACCTTTATTTTTCAAGTGTTTTAGAAAATAACTAGCTGTTACAATGGGATGGTGTGGAATTATACACCTTCCCTGTTTTTGTGCCATTTTGCTTGTGCCTGCGCCCAAGGTTGCTTGTGCCTGTGTCATGGGTAGCTTGTCGCAGCGTCGCTACTCTATACACGAGCCAAGCCAAGTACCCGGAACGTCACTACTGTGCCGAGTAGCAGTGAACGTAGCAAAAATATCTCACTCCAAAATCTTGGCGACCTGGAAATTGCGTGCACAGTGGAATGGGGCACGCTGAGAAGTTGCTGAAGATGCACTGATGAGCAGTGGATCATTACGTCACATGAACTTCAATGCATACTACTGATGCAGGCCTATAGGTACATTTTTATAGAGCACAGTCGAACCTCTTTATAAGAGACACTGATGTAAGAGAAGCCAGTGTGCCTACAATGAAATAGGGGTTGGTAAGAGAATGCATAAGTGGTGCCCTGCTTATTAAAGACCTCGTATAGAGGACAATTACTCCCTGGTACATGTCTCTTATTAAATGGTTTCACTGTAATATTTTTAATATAAAGAAACCAACAATATTTCAATGCTAACAAAAATCTTCAACCACGTACTGCAATCAAAGGTTGGGTGATCAGGTACAATGGATCATTCTTTTTTATTTTACGCCTCAAATCATTTTTTAGGGATTTCAATAAATCAATAAGTCCTCCTCTCGAGAAGAAAAACAGGGTTGGTTTGAGTCTCTGACGGACAATATTTCAATCAGTGGAGTCATCTCAATTCATGTTTTGGGCAGTTGTCAGTGCATATAAGAGTGCTTCAAAGTAGGCTATTTTCAGTGGTCCCATTATCTGGGCGCCAGGACACGAGGGCATCACCGGGAACCAGTTTGCTGATGAGGCGGCTCAAGGCTTCACAAATCACCGAGCTTCCTTGCACACTGCAATAGAGGATCCAATGCCCCTAGACCCTAACTTGGGTACAATTCTTCAATATTACAGGGACAATAGAAAACTGTATCCAGCACCGCATAAGAAACTCACTGCAATGGAATCGGTGGCATTACGCAGAATCCAAACACATACACGAACTTACACAGGCTACATGTATTCTACCCCACAGCATACAGAGATATATATGCCTGTGATGTGGGGCCACACCAACTCTGTTTCACATCACGTGGGAGTGTACGCATCACTATGAAGAACACCACAACATGAACAACACAGAGGAACAATCGGAGGCACTGCTGTCCAGCTCGGCCATTGTTGATCAGCGCTGGCTAATCCAATGGGTAGAGATGATGGCTAGGGCCAGCGGAGCCCTGGAATAGGGACCCAACCATTTGGAATGCTTCGCGTTATGCGCAAATAAAGTTTTCTCTTTCTCCCTCAGTGGTGCCATGTAGCTGCCAACCTAAGCACCACTGCTGATTACACACCAGTGGTGGGCAGTTACAATTTTTGTATGTAAAACCTGGGGAGGAAAATCTAACAAATCAGAATTACCCCTTTGTGTGTTTTTGCTATACATAAATGACAATGGTTTTCTGTCCCACAATGTCTTTGCCGTGTAGGTTTGTTTTTGACCCTCTGCTTGAAATTTTGCACCTCAGTGACGGTGCATGCCCACTGGGAGGTTCAGCCGCCTTCTAGGACTACTTCCTTGTGCTACTTTCTGTGGAGATACATAGAACTGATATCTAGTGTTGTGCGGTCTGCGGCAACGTCGATGGGCAACGCTCTTCTGTGTTTTCGGTTCTGCCGCGTGATCGCGTCAGAGGCGCATGAAACATTGGCACTTCATTACAGAGATGGTAGAGCTTGATAGACGTGTTTATTGGGACTGCTCTTAGCTTGCTTATCTCAGATATTCATGGGGTATTCTTTTTCTCTTTCATTATCGAGCTTACTCTGCCTAAGGCACCCACACGCAGAGATAATCCTCTGTGTTTTCCAACACAACTCTTAGCTAGCTCTGATGCATGCTCTATGTGCAGACGGCGATAAGATGCCGTGTGTAGACCTGTGTTTTACAGAATACCATCCTTTGAAACACTAATGAACTCAATAAAGTAATTTTATCATCTACAAAAGTTTTTCTCAGGAAAATTCGACACTCAAAGTTTTAATATGCTTTAGTGGTTCACTCCTCCGTAAATTCTTCACACTAATAGGAAATACTTATTGTCTTGTACACTGTAAGGACTTCTCTAAAAAAATGCTTAACATATATATATCTGCCAGTCAACAGTGACAGATTTAATTAGCGAGTTTTCAGTGGTTGGGGAGGGAGGGGCCTCATGTATAACTTCAAGTAACTTTGTGAAAGCAGCTTTCTGCCTCGTGTATAGTGCTGCTACGAGCGTTACATCATAACTGTTTTTTATCCACATAATACATTCATTTTACTGGACCCCCATGAAATATACCAGCAGGGTTTTACTGTAATACCTTTTTTTTCATTTTACTTTCACGTACTTGGTACTTTGTAGGTGACCTCGTCTCTTATAATCATATGGTGGTTTTGGGGCGTTAATCCCCACATATCAATTTTTAGGTGACCTGTTGTACATTGAATCTAGTCTATATTTATTTTTTAATAAAAGCAAAAAGGTTAACACAGCGCTTACTGGTTATTGCATTGCTACCTGCAACACATGAAGTATAAGTGAACACCTCCTCAGTGCGTGCACCAGTAAAGTGAACATGGCCATCTTCAAAACCTGGTGCAACTCAACAGGGCATTGGTGTACCACCTGCCAGGTGGGCTTGCACACTGTTCTGGAAATAACATCCAGGACAATCAACATTGCGATATAGCTCTTATGCTGCACTGTGAAGCTCTGTTGTTGCGATCAATAACTGGACATATTGGTCCTGTCAGAAGCCAGAGTTGTAGCTTTGCAGTTTGAGGTGTTAGGCTGCTAAGCTCGAGGTAGCCAGTTCCCAGCCACAGTGGCTGCATTTCGATGGAAGTGAAATGCAAAAACATTTGTGTATGTAGTTAGGTGCATGCCAAAATTAATTGATAGCCTTTCACTACAGTGTACCTCAATTGTGGTTATGGCATATAAACCCCCAGAAATTATTGGTCCTGTGTGGGTCGTGGTCTCAGAAAGGCCACCTGTTATATTAAAATGCTTTTATCGTTAATGAGCAGCCAGACAATATAATTTTGGTATATTGTTGCAAGTACCATAGAACATACTTGTAAATGGACATTGCTGCCCTTCTCCCTCAGCATAATGAGCCCAACTGCATATTTTCTTTGTTCTTTTTGATGAATCGCGTGCTAAATTGTGTACTTATAAGGAATTACTGAGGCCAAAATCCTGATGAGCATAGTGCAGTGGGCGAGCTGGTATACATGCTATGTATTCTTCTCTGTGTCCTAGATTTGGGTGCACGTTAAAGAACCCCAGGTGGTCGAAATTTCCGGAGCCTTCCACTACGGCATCTGGATCTCTCATAATCGTATGGTGGTTTTAGGATGGTAAACCCCACATATCAAATCTTCTCCGTGTCCTGTTTTCTTAGCGCTACGTTTTAATATGAGCTAAAGTGCCAATTGGTTTATAGGGTTTAATATTCAATGCGATGCCATAGCAGAGGCTGCCAGATAATTTTGACCACCTAGATTTCTTTAATTGTGCACTGACATAGCTTAGTACACAGGCCTCCAACATGTCACTTCCATCAAAATGCCACCACAGCGGTCTGGATGGAACCCACATTTTTCAGGTTTGCAGCTGAGCACTTTAATTACTGGGCCACCTTGGTGACACAGGCCAATATCCTAGGTACATGGCCTTGTTGAGACAAAAAGATGTCCGAGTAACTTCTAAATGAGTGGACCCAAGAGGATGCTTACTGACACCCCGCGTCTGCTGTTGTGTGTGCACACTCTCCCATTTCGCCTTTTCCTCGTTTTTCCATCTCCTTTGCCAATAGACGAGACATCTGCTTAACTTCCTGATCTTTGCTGTTTTTTAAGTGGCTGCATTTGTCTTTTAAACCAAATTGGTGGGAAAATGAAGCACTATTTCTTCATTTCTAGATTTTGAATTGGTACTTAGTTTGGAAACAGAACCTTCCAAATTTCATTCAAGCTTAATATAAGCTTCCAATCTGCCACAATATCAACTGGCTATTCGCATTCTGTTGCATGTGCGTGGTAGCTTACAGGCTTATCGGTTGAGCTTTCAAGTTCAAGGTCGTGGGTTCGATTCCCAGCTACATTGGCTGCATATAGAGGCTAAATGCACATTCCATAGGCATGTGTTCTTGAACCTCGGGTTTGCAGGATTAGTCCAGTCTCCCACTGTGGTACACCTCATAATCGCATTATGGACATGGCACCTGACGCCTCTGAAACTAAAGAGTCAACTTATTGTAGACTTGGCTTCCGTCGATTCCACATTTGCAGGGCGACAATATTTGGTTCACTAATCTGCAAAGTCAAGTCAAAATCAAATTTGCAACAGTGGCGAAAATTAAAACACACTATAATTTTTTTTCTTTGCTTGCACTGGTCTACAATGTCTTTGTTTCTCAACTTGCAGCATGAGGCTAAGCCTGCAGAACTGGTCAATCAATGATTGATTTGACGGCCCAAAACCACCATATGATTATGAGAGACGCCGTAGTAGAGGGCACTGGAAATTTTGACCACCTGGGGTTCTTAGAGGGCCAGTAAACAGCCCTGAAGTCCAAAAATTAAAAAAAAAAGATATATGTGCAGTTTTTCTTTGCAAACATGCTGTTGCAAAAATTTTGCGAATACATGCTATATTAAGGAAGTTTACAGGGGTTAGAACATCGGTCTCAGCTGGTTTAAAATTTTCGCTCGCCCCCCTTCTCCCTTCCATCAAGGGGAAGACGTAGCCCATTGTTATGACTCCGCCCACTTCGGCAACATGATACCACGTCAGCGATTGACGTCATCGGCGAACTCGATTAGTCACAACGCACTTCCGCTTGCTGCGAGGTGTGGTTGTTTGTTTACCGTTTACCGCACCAGCCGCGGGTCAACCGGTCAGGTGTGAAGTGTCGACCACAAACGACCAGGTCTCCGACGTACGTCACTGGATGGCCGATTTACTTCAGCCATGCAGCGCGCACGGCCCCATCGTGAGGCACCCGGTGCCGATGCTTCTCCGCTGCCCAGTCGCTCGATTTGCAGTCGACGACAGAGCAACGCTTTTTACCCATGTTGCTCATGTCAAGGGCGAAGTATGTTCGTACGTGCGCACAGGCGCTGCAGTTGAACGATAGTGTACACGTGCACACGACAACTGCAAGGCTGGTCGTTTCACCGCAGTGCCAAGAAACAAGGGGCAGTTTCGTAGCTGGGGGTGGGAATAAGAACTGACGTTGACTTCACTACTGTTTTTTCACACCTGATTTAGACCAATAGGCGAGCTGCGCGCCGTCATGTCGCTGATTTGACGTCACTGCGCGTGGAAGGGGGTCGGTCAGTCGTAGGAAAGATGCGCGGGAATCTGCTGCGGTCTAATCTACGAATTGCCAAGCTTGTATGGGGGCTGTAAAAAAAAAAAGTCTGGGCCTGTTTACTGGCCCTTTAACGTGCACCCAAATCTGAGAACATGGGCCTACATACAGCATTTTTGCCTCCATCAAAAATGCAGCCGCCACAGCTGGAATTCGATCCCACGACCTGCAGGTTAGCAGCACAGTACCTTAGCCACTAGACCACTGCGGCGGGGCAGAACTGACCACTCAGAAGCACAATTAGCTGAATTTCTTGTCTTGAAGCCTTTAGCTGCCACTGCATGTATGAGGAAGGGGCGAGTTCCTGTGGGTCTTGCATTACCTGCAGAAGCATGTTTTACAAGCATGATGCTGTAGAGATGCTTGCTTTTATTGCAGCAAATGGTTGCACGAAGGCTTTCTAATGCACTCAATTGCATGACGTTTACAGATGACTGTATTAGCAAACACTACACTTCATCATTCTAAACACCAACCTGTTTATGAGCTAATGAAGTGACTAAAGCAGCAAACAGTAGCAGCATGCATATGATTCTCAGTTCAGCACAGCTGCTCCATAGCTGAAAGAGCAGTGCTTTTTGGCACCCACAAGTGGGCCTTAGCATTTAGTGACAGTAACTAGGTGTCCTGGCAGTCTGATAGTACCTGCTGCACACTATCTCGTGTGGCTGCAGAAATGGTCTTAGCACGAACTCCATTTGGCCATAAAAAGAATAGCATATTTTTGGAGGCCTTTTTATTACAAACTCATTCAATTCCAATGTATGCCAACATGAACAAACCAGAACAAGGCATCACACAAATTTTTGCCTTCATCAAGATTATTAAAAAAAATTTCCAGGCCTTCAATGTCCCCACCCCCAAAATAACACTTATTAAGACAGTCGTGCAAAGCATTTTACAGCTATATAATGAAAACATTAAGTGAACTATAAGCATACAGAGTTGATTAATATGTTAAAGCTGAAGTTGTGCATTGATCCAGCACCTCTTCAGAGTTCCAACAATGACTCGAACCAGCATCTAGCATGCCCCAGTCAACAGTATTTATGTGCATACAATTAACATGAGGAAATTGAACAACTACTTGCCTGCCCACAAATCTCAATGAAGGCAACAAATTCAAATTTCCAACAGACCATCTCTTTTTCACCGCTTATTCTCCTCACAAGGTAAAAAGCAGCGCTGGACAGCAACATTTGAACTTTCGCATGAATGTCCAACAGTGAATTACCCAAGGTCGTGACAACACACCAAAAATGTAGCAGACCCCAGTGCAGTAAATGAAAATAATAACCAATGCAATCTACACCTGTTACAATGGATCATAAAATTCAGAAAGAATGATCTGTCATACACTATATATATATCTTGCACAATGGTGCAAAATGACAGTACTCTTGCATGCACCATCTAGTTTTATCATCATTAGTAGGTCACGACCATAAATCTAAAATAAACTAAAACACAGATCAGTTTAGAAGGGTGAATCAGTGATGGTGACACCAGGCATTGACGGGCTCTCGTGATATTAAGGCTTGATATTGGGTCCCACACATGAAACATCAGCCTAGCAGCTACAAGGCATCTTGTAATGCTGGCACAAGGAGGAATGTCCCTAGCAGCATTGATTCTAGATGACACGCAAAATGGGACCCAAAAGTAAACAGTCAATTTTTGTAGCTTGAATTTTAGCATCCATTTACCTCAAACTAGTATACGAAGATAGGATCGCACGCAGCTACTTGGCGGCAACACCGTCATGTATTTGCGAGCACAATCACACGAGCTGTGGGAGGCCTCGGCTACAGCAAAGCCAGGCGAGCAGAGCATATATGTATATATCCGGTTGTCATTTTCATTTATTGAGTGGCCTCTGAACACAAGCTGCTCTGTAGGGGTCACACATGTGAATAGCATGACAGCAAAAGCACATTAGTCAAATGTCTGTGCTATTGCCTTGATAAAAGGAAGCAAAACATGCATACCCCACTCCCAAGCGAACTACTAGGCTTAGGCCTAGTAGCACACACTGTAGCAAGCTAACACTTGTAGGCGTTGCTAAGCCACTTGTGTAGTGAACTGAAAAGCTCTACTAATGTGAAAGCGTTAATGCCACATGAGGAGGAAAATCTGGCAAGCATTTGCATTAAAACCCGATGGCAAGAAACTCACAGGACCAAGTTGCAATGTCATGTCGTTTTTGCCGCCCAATTAAACATTGAGTTGACCGATGTTCAAACGAACTGAGCTCACCCTCAAAATTGGCTTTTACCGATTTGAGCACATGACGAAGTGATCTAGCGTGACATGTGACAAGGGCTTCTATCTAATCACCTCACTAATCTGCTGTCTTTATCTCTGTTCTTCACACTGCTTCAACATTTAATGCACAGCATGCCATTGCTGAAAGCTTGCTGCTGGTGTGATTTTTCTGTAAGATAATTCATGCTTACACAGTTTCTGCTAGTGGATGGTCAACATTGTGTCCAATAAACTGCTGCATCACCACAGGAAAGTATTTTGTATATGCCTTATTTAGACAATTATTTGTTTAAAAACTTTACTCTTATAACTAGTTTCACTAAAGGATCTGTTGCATTCAGACAAATCAAACTTGGAAAATCTTTGTCATATGAGGATACTTTGTAACAGGCATGGACTGTATTTTGACTAACCAAACTGATGCCAGGCAAGAGACATTAAATTTCTTTCACAACAAAGGTACATGTATGCAGAGATTACATGAAACTTTGTAGAATGACAGGTTATCCCTATGTTCTGTACAACTCAGATACCTATCAGAGGCATCAAGTACAGCTTAGTTGCTCCAGTTTTTTAAACTAAGACATCTAGACAAGGTATTTTAGTATTTGATGCAGGCAAAACAGTGACATGCAGCATCGTTCAAATCACAATGCACACGCAGCTGTGCCTCTCACAAAACAACATGTATGATGTGTAGCAAAACCATTCAAGCAACATATGTCAAGACAATATAGTAGTGGTTCCATTTTTGTCCACTTTTTCATCAAAATGAAAGACTTGTTTTAGGGCATCAAAGATCTTAAATAGTGAAACACTTTCATTTGCCTAAGCCAGATAAGCCAAAGAAATACCAGTAGCACATGTATTCCACAATGAAAGTTCTTTCCCTGCTTTAAAGAACATTTATTGCAAATGGTGTCCTCACAATGTTGAAATAATTTTCACACTTTTTCCTTACTTTTTTTTGGATGAAGAAACACAGGGGGGAGGTTGCCAATTCTAAAACGCCATCAGATGTATACCAAAAATGTCCATGAGACACCAAAAAAAGAAAAAGCATTCCACACACGGAGGGACATCACTCTAGGTTGCACACGGCATCCAGTTTTACACAAGCTTCTTGGCTTCGAAAAAGCTCTTCAGGTGTCTCATCTGCCAGAATCCCATGAGCAAAAGGATGATTGTCTGTCCAGCCGACCACCACAGAACCCTGGAGTTGGTGCTCTCACTAGTCTGTCGGAAGCGTTCTTCACGGAACTGAAAAGTATCATTTGAGTTGTTGATTCATAATGACAATGACTAAAAATATGGCATTCACCCGGAAACCTAGAGCACTGGCCAAAGTATAGCACACACAATGATTCTGACATCAAGGAATATCTCAAGGAATGTTTTGCAAAGCAGCAAGCCATGACGGCAAGTGGTCCACACTTGCCATCATGGCTAATAGTGGTGTTGACTAACATTGCCTGGTTCAAATGCACATATATTCTCCATAATGTGGACAACGAGATGACCAGTGCTGTAGATAAGTTGGTAGAGCATAGGACGACGCATTATTCAAAGGTCGCAAGTTCAGTCCTTGCCAGTGGTAAGTCATCTTTTTTGACCACTTTTCTTTCTTCACATTTACATCACAACATCCCCTATACTTTCCTTGGCATGACTAGTTGTCAATTTTCATTAATATTGTGTCTAACAAAAAAAAACGAGCCCTTAAAAATAATTCCACTTAACTATGATATACTTTGACAAAAGGCAGAGAGTACATAGCAAGAAATGAAGCATGTACATTGCTGCGGAGTTATTGAAGATAAATGTGGCAATGCTTTACATAGAAATGTATATTGTGCATCACATGTGCACCCGAGGGCAAAAGTAGGCAGACCATGGGAGCACGTGCCAAAATTGCCATTTGCGCCATCTAGTGGTGAGCAGTCTGCAGTCAAGAACATTGCTATGGCTGCACATTCACCGGAGCAGTGCTCTCGATAGAAGACTGCTTGCCGCTAAGCAGCACACACAGCAACTTTGACACGCGCTCCTGTGGTCGGCATACTTTTGTCCTCGGGTGTACCTTCTCTTGCAAATGCGTCTAATACTTATTTCAGCTATGTATGGTTAACAAGTATGTCAAGCTCTACCGAATGACCGTTCACTAGAGTGTGTCCACTTATTCCATAAGTTCCTGCGTTGGTTTTTCAAAGGAGCACTGACACAAAACTTAGAAGGCGAGATTATGAACGAGTTAGATTTATGTGGAGACATGCACAACATCTACAAAATATCTAGGGCAAATATAGCCTAGAACATATATCAACACGGCGGCAATGCAAACAAACCTACGTTGCGAGTTTAAGTTGGCTGGTTGCTTGGGCTTGCGCTACCTGCGATTTCTTCTTCCATGCCTGCGTCTTTGCGTATGCTGGCTGTCAAAGCAGCGTCCACTCACGCGCGTGGCATCACGTCAGTTTTGAGTGGTCACACAGCCAGCTGTGTTTACCTTGCTGCTGGTGTTGCTCCTGCCTAGCTTGGTGCTCTTTGAAATCAAAACTGTGACTGGGCACTCAAAAAATCTAAAAGCCTCTCTAAATAACCATCATGCACTCGTGTGAACGAAGTTTCCAGCCCTGGTAATGGATTTCAAGCTACCTATTGCAAAAAAAAATGTGTCAGTGCTCCTTCACAAAAAAAAATTTTAGGACATATTATTTGCTTCTGCAAATGTGGAGCAGTGCCAGTTCCAGAAAACCAGGCTGAGTGAGGCCAAAACAAAGTCAAGCTTTCTGAAAACAATGATACTGACCCAATACACACAAAACTACAACTGCCAACATGTGACAGATGCCTAAATGTAAAAGTTATGATCATTTCTAGCATATTGATATGCACTGCAATTGGAGGCTTCTTTCTACCATCTCCAACTTCTACCAGCTACAACTACTACTTCAGACTTGCACCAGCCTGCACGTTTCCTATCCTACCATGCCACCCAATTCTCTGCCACCTCTTCTCCATTTTACTAATACCTATAATGGACTAATGGCTAACTACTTCGCCACTAAAGAATTACAATTTCCTTTCCTGGAATGCAACAACAGAGCTGAAAACGTCGGCTCTCTTCCTTACTCCAGTCTTTTTTTTTTTTCCAATCCTAGGCCACAAACAATACAATAAGCCCCAATTACTGGATGCGTCTGAATATGCAGTATACTGCTGCACTGGACTAATGATAAAAAAATAAACTAAGCTTAAACTTCCAAACAGTGGTCAACACAATGGATCATTCATTCTGTGTGCCTCCTTTGATGCATTTGCACATCTAAACAAACATTTCCTAAAAGCAGCCTTGGTTCTACATTTTTCATCAGTTACGATTCAGTTCGCTCCTTCATGCTCGATCCATAAGCATCAACTGTTGTAAGGATCATTATACAGCAGAGAAAGGTTTTCTTCTCATCTTACCCTTTGGTAATTCTGCTCCTTGGTGATCTGGTCAACCTGGTCCAAGAGCTGCCTCACACGCAGTTGTAGCTCTGTAAGTTTCTCCTTCCGTGCCACACTGCCATAGTCGACAGCATGCTCCCCAACTTGGATATCAAGGTGAACCCTCTGCAAACACACAGCACATGGAAAGATGACAGGAATGTCAACTCCAAATATGAATGGAATAAAATAGCACTAAACCACCACAAGACTCATTTTCACAGAAAAAATAATAAATTCCTCCAGTATTTCACCAAAATGGTATGTCCCACTATCTTACAAGAAGCCTTGATACCTTGCAATCAAAATGGTGCAAAGCAGGCTGTAATAATGCAAGAGCATTACATGGCTTATTGTGTGACCTGCCATCTTTGAGGAGCTGTGGCAGAAAAGCGACACACTAATTATGTTATCTTTGCATTGAAATAGAAACTTGACTGAGTTCGTAGGGCTTTATACTTGTAAACGTGTGTGACAGACAAAACGAGTAGCGCCCGTCCTGTCTACTCCTTTAGTCAATCGTCCAAAGATTGTGAGTGTACACATTTAGAAGTGCACCATCTTCACATGGGGCTGCAGTGAGGATTTGAAGCTCCATTTCCCTAGCACTGCTCCCTTCCATAGTGGTGTATTAGCCACTGCGCCACCGTTGTATCGTGCCACCATTGCTCCAGCCAACAATGAATGGCCACGTGTTTTGATGGGCTCTTCCTGATGGCCAATTCACTAGACGGTGGTGCAGCTCACTGCACTCCCTCCACAGCCACTCACTTCCTTCCAGAGATACAATACACCTCCGGCACCACATTCGGCAACAATTAAAGCTCTCGCATTCACACAACATAAGTGCCCCCACAAATTTAGTACCGTCATACTTGGTTCATAGTACGCGTCCCATGAGTAGCACTGACCCTGCAATGCTTTCCTGCATGAGTTCATCATCACATAGGTTAATTCACTTTAAAAATCGTGTTTTTCATGTTACAAGAGTAAATGGACGCTGTCTACTAGACTTCGTGTTGCACAAAAAAAAAAAAAAAGTGGGGGTGCCATGCAACTGCTTTTTAATCTCTTTAAAAGAAGATTCTTCTTCAAAAAGAAAAAAAAAGTTTCTTTAATCTGTAGCCTAGGGCAATGGAATTTGTGCTGTATACATAGGCTTTTATAGTCGTTTCAAATATGTACTAAGTTTTATAAGAAGTTACTTAGCTTTTGTTCTCGTTTTGTGCCATCACAATATGTCAATTTTGGTTTTCTTTGTACACACATTTCTTTTTGCTACTAAATATTTATGATTCCGAGCAATCAATGACTTATATTGCTTTACATTAACTGTAGAATGCAAATAACTAACAAGAAAGTGTGCATAACACATTCTAATGAACAAAAAAATTGTAACGTGAGAAATCTTGAAATGTTCAGACCATACTAATTGCTTGTTTTAAGTTTGTACTAGTTATATAACCGATATCAAACTTTAAAGGGACACTAAAGGCAAATGACAAGTCATGTCATAGTGAACGCTCAAGGTATGACGTCTAAAATGGCAATATTATCAACAGCAGTGCCTTACCTACCAAGAAATTCAGCCACATGTACCGGACAACATGCATTAGGAGTGGGACATTTTCGAAATGATCTCGTGATGTGTGAACATCCAACTACAATAATCACTAGAAGTCAAACTAGTTTCAATAAAAAAAGAACCTACTGTGCATCAAAAGACGTAATAAAATGTGGCTTGTCTATTTCTGCTTGATTTATAGAAAAAGGAACCACCTGGTGTTATAGAGAATGGCATGAGTGATGGAAAAGTTCGATTTTCAGCTAGTTAGTTAGGCTGGATAGATGGTGCCCTCAAGGGGGTTCTTCATAAAACAGAGCGCACAAAACACAGGACAGAAAGAGATCAGGACAAGCACTCTGATCTCTTTCTGTCCCGAGTTTTATGCACTCTGTTTTATGAAGAACTATGAATAACCAACACGCTCAAACCTTCTCCCTTAGAAGTGCATCCCTCAGTGGCCGTAGTTGCTACTGTGACTCCCACTACTTTCCCTCTGCCTCTAGTGGTGTCGACGGCCATGCAATGAAGGCGAGCAACACTGGGCATGGCAACAGTTGCATCTGAGAGACTGCTTTCAGGCGGGTGATTTGAAGTGCGCTAATGTGATACAGACATTTTAAACCTTGTTTTATTTCAAAATAAGCACTTTCTTAGCACAAAAGTAGCACAATAAGGTTTCTGGACACTGTTAACAATCAACATCGGCTAAACATATGCCCTTAGTGTCCTTTCCTTTAAAGAAGATGCCTGCACTCTGCACACTTTGCACCGCCAGGGTGGTGTAGGCACTCAGCTACTGACTGGGATCGAAGCCTGGCTGCAGCAGCTGCATTTTCGATGGAGGCGGAAAGGCTGTAGACCCGTGTGCTCATATTTGGGTGCACCTTAAAGAACCCCGGGTGGTCGAAATTTACGAAACCCTCCACTACAGCGTCTTTCATAATCATACGATGGTTTTGGAATGTTAAACTCACATATTATTATTATTATCTTCACGCGTTAGGGAATATATGGGCAAAATTTCATCCTGATCTAGCTATTGGAAGTACCAAGAACATGATGTCCAAACTCAAGAAGTTGCCCCAAATTGTATCCTGAGAAAAACACATTTTACAGGTTAAAAGGAGAGCTCATCTACGTCGCAACAATGTTTTTTAAATGCGAAGCATTTAAAACTTTTGGCAACTTTGAGCGTATCTATCTATCTATCTATATAGCCGCTTACGTTTGAGTGCTCTCGTGGTCGCCCCTATAACTTGGTGTGAACCAAAATTAGCGTGGGAGGGTACGATGGTTTGACGAATATGACACGCTGGTCAAGGCGTGAATAATGACGCAATCTCGTCGTGCACGTCGCCAAACACTTCCCGCCAGACTGTGACACATACCCACGGCCCCTGGTATGAGGGTATGTGCCACAGGTGATTGACACTTAATATCTACTCTGCAACGATGAGAACACACATGGGCAGTCTTAATGCAGAAGCGTTAAAAAATACCCGACACAAACCATAAATGTCAGGATCCCAGTTGAAACCGAACCCAAGCATTTTACCACAAAGCTATGCCAGGTCTCGGAACCTTTCGAATAGACGCTAATCTTCGTTAAACGTCAATAGTGATTGCAGTGCTGCCTGCCCAAATTTATAAACACTACATATGTAGTCCTTCAATACAGCTGTCACGTCGGCTTAACGTCAATTGTAGTTAGTTGCCATGCGCTGAAATTGATTTATGTAGCTGTGTCCAGAGTCAGCATCCTCGTGAGCATCACTGACTTTATATCAGCTTCTGATTTTGCTAATACGCATGTTCCATTTGGCATCGTTGCGCAAGTGCAAGCAACTGGTTATATAAACACCTGCAACTCTTCAACATAAGTCTGTGCGTGCAACATTTTTACATATATTTAGCTTCATTTCATGACATTTTGCTCAATAAAAAAACTTACAACATAGTCACCTTTCCTCCGCATGCTTTGCATAATGCCGACTCCCATGTATGTTGTATCTGCCGAATTGTTTTTTAATAATTTTTTTCCGTTATGAGAGGTTGGAAATGATGGTTATTTTGAGCATGTGGCTCAGGTGAACTGCTCATGTGAAATACAGTGGCAAGCAGCTATGGTGACAATTTCCAGTAGTTTCTAGACTATGAGTGTTTTTTATTTTTAAATTTTTAGTAGCCACCTTGTGCTCTTCAAAAGTAGTATTAACCTAATTCAAGTTTAATTGCAATATTCAATTTGTTTTATCATGACAATAGAGAAACTAAACTTGCAAAATTGAATAAAAATTATGTATTTTTGAAAAAACTGAAATTTTCGCCTCGAATCTCCCCTTAAGATAAGAGGCCAAGTGATGAAATTTTTTTTTAAAGCAATAATCACTAGTGTTTATTGCCTGCAATATAAAGCACATCTTTTTAGGCACATTTGAGCATTATAAAGCAAGTCCTACTTTCTGTTAATTTTGCATAATGTTATTAAAAGTATGCCTTGCACAAACACTCATAACTTAAGTTGCTCATTGAAAAAAATTTTGAAGGGACATGAACAAAGCCTTGACCTGTGCCATAAACCAAGACGAATGGGATCTGATGCCGAACTTTGGGCATTTAGTAATGAATATACATGTACTGCAATACTTTCCCTGCATCTTTTTTTTTTCTATGTACCATCAAGACAATGGAAAAATCTAAATGCAAGGCCTCGTATGCAGTTGATTTCTTGTTAACTGCTATCAATTCAATGGCAGGCCATTCCTGACCACACTATGAATATGGTTATACCTATGAGACCTATTATGAATTCTTTAAGCTCATCTAGGCATTTCCAAGTGGCTTCCACAAAATCACCTAACCATCTTGTGCATGAATGACCTGGTTTTCTCTAAGCTTCCACTTTGGCTAGTATCAATTTTCACTTCTTTGTAGATAAACTCACAAGACATGACAAAAACAACGAAAGCTTTAGTTACATTACCATCACCTTGAAGGAACATTATCTCCTATACCAGAGATTTTTATTCATTTGGGAGTTCAGGGGATCCTTGAAAGTCTGCACCAGCATCACCACTATGATCATCAGCCTGTCTACGCCCACTGAAGGGCAAAGGCCTCTCCCGTGATCCGCCAATCAACCCAGTCTTCTGCTTTCCGTTGCCTTGTTATACTCGCAAACGTTTTGATCTCATCGGCCCGCCTAACTTTCTGTCTCCCCTTTGTGGGTTTGCCTTCTCTGGGAATCCATTCAGTTACCCTTAATGACCAGCAGTGATCCTGCCTACGTGCGATGTGCCCGGCACATGTCCATTTTTAAAGACGATAGTCTTTCTTGGGCACCTTCGACGAAAAAATTTTGGTCTGTCTGTCTGTACATTTGTCTGTTTGTCCGCCCTAACGATACCTCAAATGGCATTAAACGGCCAACCCCATCTGCAGCGCTCACCAATATTGCTCAAGATTTAGCCTTCATAGTTGCGCGATTGTCAATTAAAAAGCAATTATTGCACATATCTGAGGTGCCACAACAACGCTTTGATGTTTCTATGTCTGCCTTTATACTAGAAGAGGCACGCACAAGTAACTCTGAGGAATGTGCTGCACTGACAGTGCAACGCGATGCTCAAAAAGGTGTTTCCAACACTTTGCTACGATGTCACGGTGGTGGCACCTGCCCGTCGTTTTGCTTTCTACACCTTATCACCTCCGAGACTGACGTGCATCTTTCTACGCGGGCTGCACGCCTTCGTTTTCGAAGATAACTGCCAGATGGCACTTGTGTCTAACGTGCCTAGATGCGCACGTTCGCCTCCGCCACACGCTCGAGGCACTCTAACGCAGCGCCTGCAGAATATCATTCACCGATTTTCTTGCGCAGAACGTCAAATAAACGTTTTGTTCACTCTCTCCAGACGCAAGACTATTGTCTTTTGACGACATTTACAGTGTAACATGTAGATTCGGGCCAATTTTTTCTTCTTGATTTCAACTATGATATCCTTAACCCTGATTTGTTCCCTGACCCACTCTGCCTTCTTGTCTCTTAAAGCTACACCTATCATTTTCCTTTGCATCGCTCGCTGCGTCGTCCTCAATTTAAGCTGGACCCTTTTTGTAAGCCTCCAGGTTTTTGCTCCGTAGGTAAGTGCTGGCAAGATAGAGCTGTTGTATGCCTTCCTCTTGAAGGTTAGCGGCAGATTATCATTCATGATTTCATAATGCTTGCCGAACGTGATCCACCCCATCCTTACTCTTCTAGTTATTTCACTCTCATGGTTCAGCTCCGCGGTTACTACCTGTCTTAAGTAGACATATTCCTTAACAACTTCCAGCGTCTTTCTACCTACCGCAAAGTGCCATTTTCTGCCGAGACTGCTTCACATTGCTTTAGTTTTGTGCATATTAATTTTAAGACCTACTTTTCTGCTTTCAGCGTCCAGTTCTGTAATCAAGAGCTGTGATCCATCCCCTGAGTTACTCATCAAGGCAATGTCATCAGCGAATTGCAGGTTAATGAGGTACTCATCATTTAACTCTTATTCCTAACTATTCCAATCTAGGCTCCTGGAAACCTCCTGTAAACACGCGGTAAATAGCATTGGAGAGATCGTGTCTCCCTGTCTTAAACCATTCTTTATCAGGATTATATCGCTTTTTTTATGCAACACTATGGTGGTAACGAATCCCGTGTATATTTCTTCCAGTATGATTATATAGGGTTCATCGATGCCCAGATTCCGTAGTGCCTGCATCACTGCTGATGTCTCGACCGAGTCAAACGCCTTCTCGTATAATCTATGAAAGCTATGTATAGTGGTTGACTGTATTCCGTGCAATTCTCTATCACCTGATTGAAAAGATGAATATGGTCTATTGTGGAGTAGCCTGTACGAAATCCTGCTTGGTCCTTTGGTTGTCTGAACTCTAATGTTGCCTTATTTCTATTAGCTATTATTTTGTAAATAGCTAGTAGTGAACGGACAGTAAGCTGATCGGCCTATAATTTTTCAAGTCCTTCACGTCTCATTTCTTATGGATTAAGATGATGTTGCCGTTCTTCCAATATTCTGATCCGGACGACCCTCGGCACCACACTGACACACAAGCAGCATGGCTCAAAAGAATCAGTTGTTTTTTTATATTCAGGGAAAGTCCACGGCGTTTACCAGATGAATTAATGGTTTGGGTGCAAGAGATGCAAGTCGCCCAAACTGGTGAGATCAATTTCAGACACGACTATTAAGTGCAAAATTGACAAAGTGAAGAAAACGGACTGAATGCGGCATGTCCTGCCTGTTTTTTTCCTTGTCCATTTTGCACTAATTAGTTACATCTGATATTAAGTTTTGATGCACACATCTATCTTTCATAACTTTGAAACTCCACCCATTACTGGTGTCCGTATGTTTCTGTCCTAGAACCACTATTTGATAGAAGCAGCTTTCATTATGTCATTTTTTTTACCCACTTTTTGACTTCGATACACAAACACACATGGACACACACAATATGTAGGTGCTTGCAGCATTTGTTTACAAGGGTGGTACTTCCTGCACATTGATTACAAGCACTCTACGGATGTTGAATACCATAAAATTACAAGTCTACTCAAGAAATCTAAGATAGCTGCTATTAGTCGTTGATATGGCCAACTCAGTGATTAACATTCAGACCAATAGAATAGTGCTTTCATCATAACTGTCATGATCAAACAGTAGTGGAAAAATGTACAAAAATAGAGAAGTGTCAGTAATGATAACCCCCCCTTCTCTGGCGTTCTCAGCAGCAAAGGTAACCACAGGCCAAACTACAAGTTGCAAAGGCAGCACACGTCTATTTCTTTGAACGGCCAGAACAAAAGTTGTTTATGTGCGCTGCACTTCAGTGGGACAAGTGGTTATGTGAATATCGGTATTGCAGCTGAGCTGTCTGAGTGAGTTTGAATATGTCCACTGAAGCAACATGTTGCTGATAAGATAAAGGAAACTGCAAAAGAAATATCGTAGTTTGCTTTTTGTAGCATATTCACAAAAAGGTTCAGGCAATGTGTTAGGCCCAATATTCACGAATGCAATCACTTGGTTCAAATTTCTAATCGATACCCAAACATTGTTGCAACTACATCAAGGAAGACATGGTACTACCATAAAGACTTCCAAGACTGCTTTGCACGTGCTGCATTTCATCCGCGGAGAAATCATAACCGCATTACAGCACTTGATGTCATTTCGATGTATTAATGATAAAGCAAATCTTAAACACCAAACACCACTGTCAAGTAAGTACTTGTGCTGTTTCACACACTCATAGATATCAACATCGCCACAGTGCACCATTGATAGACTGTTTTCCATCGTGCATTCACAAATAAAGCAAGGAAATGCCAACAAGACAATAGCCAAGTCTGTCGCCACCACCAAAGGACACAACCACAGCTGTTACTGGATCGAGGTGCTATGTGTCGCTGTCTACTTGAGAAGACGCTCACTACTAATGCCGCAGCGCTTACCAGTTGACTTCCGCTGAACCAGCTGGAAGAATTGGAGTAGAGGCAAATGACGTGTTCACCGGGCGAATGCGAAGTGAAACTAAAGCGCCCTTCGGAGCTGTACACCTTCGACAAAATGGTCTTGTCCTCAGGATCGCGAATTTCCACGTGCATACCGATCCCGGGACTGGACTGCATGAAACCACCGGTCTTCGGATCGTACAGTTGGCACTTGTAGTTTCCTAGAATGCAGGCACAAATAATTACGCAAGTTCATCAGTAACACCGACGAGTCGTCTGAGCGGCGCTACTACAGTTAGCGTCCCGTAATGACAGCGGATATACCATATTCACCATAGTTTGGACTTTCGTGGCGCATCGCATAGGAGTCAAGCTCGTGGCTCCGATGCTGACGTGGTTTTCTTCATTAAAACAATCACGTTGGCGTGAGCGGCGGGTACCGTAGAATTTGTCACCGACGTCCCTGGTTCTGACCGTAGAGACGCTGGCAACCACTGAAGGCGCACCGCCAAGCGGCTAACCTATGTTGCTGCTCCCCAAGAAACACAGGACGACCAGTGATGGCAAATATCTCGAAGCTAAGGTCCCGATTAGAGTTGTTATCGTGAACTATCCACGCACTACTCAAAGGAAACAACTATATGACATCCTACGTCATTATGAGACGCTAACAGTAGCACTGCCCATCTCGGCATTCGCGTGTTGCTCTGAAAAATGGGCGACGGTCGCTAGAATGACCAATACAACGACAACTAATACAAATAATCTGGGTAATTCAAACGAAGCGATTCGAAGATGCTAACCAGAATGGACTGCTGACGACTAAATATGCGAGAGCACACCGACTACCAAACTGCGCATATGTCCTGTCGTTCAACACGTCCATACGGGCAGCGAGAATACTAGGCCGTGAAGATTGCATTGAGAACGTATAAAGCATAAAACATGACCAAATAAAAAAAGACGCAGCGTCAAATAACTTCGCACTACAGTCATTCAAAAAAATAAGCAGCATCGACTGTCACGGAAGAAGCAAGCCCACAAGCTCACCAACGACAAGCGTTTCCTCGGGCACTTCTTCGATGAAGCATTTTCGTTCCGTTTCGGATATATGAAAGTAAAGTCCCAGTGAATGATGAATGAACGACAAAACTAAACACACAAGCGCGTAATACTTGGTGGACAACATCGTTCAGCCGATGCGACGGCCCCGTGAAATGGTGCGGACCGTAGTACACGTTAGACAGACAACAAACCGGTCGCCACGTTTGACACACAGGGTGGCTATCCGACACCACACAAGCGCATTTCACTAAAAACGGCGCGCGTAATTTTGAGCGTACGACTAAAAAGGCAAATTATTACTTTTTAAAGATAATTTTAACCTACAAAAAACGCTTCGAAAAATAGTTTTATTGAAATATGCTGGTAGTGCCTGTTCAATGAGTTTTTCTTGTTTGACGAAAGAGAGGTTGAAGCCAAGTCCACTTCCCTCTAATTCGGCCTCTAATCCTTGTAGGTACATCATGATTAACAAGGGTGACAGAGGACACCGCTACCTAAGCCCCCGTTTTACCTCTGTGGGCTTGGATACCTATTTTTCCAACTTTAGAACTACCTTGTTACTTTTATAGATATCCTTTAAAAGATTAGTGACTCCATCTTCGACACCTAGTGTGTCCAGTGTTCTCCACAAGTCTTCTTGAACCACGCTATTGTACGCTCCCTTGAATCCAAGAATGCTAGCCACAGGGGCATGCGTTCCTTTTCTGCTATTTAGATGCACTGCGTCAGTGAGAACAGATCGTCTTCCAACCTCCTTTGTTTCCGAAACCCATTCTGCAGTTCCCCCAGCAACCCCTCGTCCTCTATCCATGCCTGCAGTCGTTCCTTTATAATCATGTGCATCGCCAGCTTGTAGACAACTGATGTCACTGTTATAGGACGGTAGTTGTTTATGTCCGCTTTGTCCCATTTTCTTTTATAGATAACGGCGACAACTCCCACCGCGGCTCCACATGGTGGTCGAGAGTCAAAACTCGGCGGCAGCTCCGCCCGCGCCTACCGTGACTCCGCGCGTGTTCTGGGGCGTGACTGCATGCCATGGGGGAGCTACGTGCAGAGGGTCAGTCTGCACCCGAACTCCCGTCAGTTAGCGAAAAGGCAAGGATGGTCGTTCACTGACTCAATACTACGACAAGTTTCGCAAAAACCTGCAAATATGACTTCTGTTGATTTTTTTTTAAATTTTTTCTATTTATTCTGCAATCCAATGTGTTTAATTCATCTCACAGCGTTGCCGTAATATTCACTGTAACTATTTAATATTCATTCAACAGTTGTCTTCAGAGAAGGCAATGCCATTCCATAATTTGTACGTCTACAAAAATTATGTTTTTTTTTTTCGAATTATATGACAATCTTGAACAGCTAGCTTGCCAGCGCTAACACGCCATATTATTCGTGTAAAATAAATGCATACGCAATGTTCAATCGCTATTACGTTGTAATTGCGCCACTGCAATATTCGTGATATAATGTTCACGGTAATCGTTTGATGTTCAATTAACACAATTCGTGTTTTGAAAGCTACTCTTTTAGAGACTGACAACTCATCGGCGTGTCAGCCTTTGAGCACAATTTTTTTATGAGCGGAATTGAAAAAAAAAAAAAAAAGTTGACCGACATTACAGAATTGTAGTGATAGAAGTAGATCAGATTGGATTAGCACAATGCAAATAGGCGAATTAACAGATTTTACCAAATTAAGTTCCAACAAATTATTTTATGGCATTTATATTACAGCTCCGTTTGAGACATGCATTGTCAATAGCGATAAAATTGCACTGCTCAATGTACTGCTTAAAAGACAACGCTGTTTTATGCGTTGTAGCGCAGTTTACTTGCTGGATTTGCTTTCTTGTTTTGTTTTTCTTTAAAGTGCTGTCCCGTCGCGTTCGTCTAGGTACTCGGCTGCTGGCCCGCAGGTCGCAGGATCGAATCCTGTCATCGGAGGCTGCATTTTCGATGAAGGCGAAAATGCTGTACGTATGCGCCCGTGTGCTCAGATTTGGGTGCACGTTAAAGAACCCCGGGTGGTCGAAATTTTCGGAGCCCTCCAACACGGCGTCTCTCATCATTCATATGGCGGTGTCATGACATGGTCGCCCCACAATTGACGGGACACCCAACAATAGGTGTTCTGTGGTACTATATGCCACTATCGAGTCCGGTTTGGGAGCCTTCTATTGACACACATGGGAGAGATGGGGGAAAAGTGCGTCAGGTTCGAGTCTTGTAGCACGCTCATCTGTAATTGAGCGTGTGACCATAGTTTCCCTTCAGGGGGGGGGGGGGGGGTATTGCAGCGCGCCGCCTAAGTTAGTGTCTGCAGCAAATCTTGCCCCCCCCCCCCCCCTTCTAATGTGGGCGCACGGCGAGGGGGGGCACCCCTACCACGCGCAGCTCTACGTCTGTAATAATAGCTGTGGCCAACGCAACAGTTTTTGAACTATCATATAACAATAAAGAATTCAATAATATTCTGTCGGTACCACGCCTTAAAATCACGATATGATTCATGTACGTATACAAATAATAGCTGTGGCCAACGGAGCAGTTTTTGAACTATCATATAACAATAAAGAATTCAATAATATTCTGTCGGTACCACGCCTTATAATCACGATATGATTTATGAGGGATGCCACACTCCGGAAAATCTTCCCAGTTGGCCATACGATTTGCTGTTGAAAACCTATAGTCGATTGTAAAATATTACCGTGCATTTTATCAAATTTCGCGGCTGCTCGTTGGTCAGGGCAGCAATATCCTTCTGACAGCTTTTATACTAGGCAGCACATTTAATGGCTAAATGAGAAACAATTACGAAGGAAATTGACTGCGCATCTGGCGCTAGACTCGTACGGAGAAAAATGTATCTGTTTTAGTCATATTTCTGATGCCGCCAATCTATAGCTTCGAGGAAAAAAAAAAACATTTAAATTCATGGAAGAATGCCGCAAGGAGGACGAAATAAACCCGCCGAGTGTGCTATTGCGTCAACGGTCTTCTTATGTTGCGGGTTCGACTGTTGGCTGGGGCGGCCGCATTTAGATTAGGGCGCAATGCAGATGCACCCGTCTAGACTAATAACATACTATATTATTCTAATAACGTAATATTTTTGTAATACTTCAGAAGTCTATACGACTTAACGACGAAACGCGCTCTTGAAGTACGCTTAGAATGTTGCGAAGTAACGTCAAAGTTCAAGAAGCAGGATCGTGTTCAAATCAACGAACAATTATTAGGCTCCCGCAGTTTAGGTGAATGAACGATGGTTTGATTAAAATCCACACAATTAAGCGCATGTATGTGTTTTGGCAATTATGCAGCAGCTGATATATTGAACAGCCATCGTCTCAAGGGATCCCAATCCGCCGCTGTGAACGTGCTTGAAGAGCCACCAAAACCATGCACCTTTCTGAAAGCTGTGAGACGCGTTAGCAGCAGCGTGAGAAAAGGACCGATGCACATGAAGCGAAAAAAGAAGAAGAAAAGAATGAATTCTCTCGATATCGACGCACGCCGTCGCGAACGCGTTCACTGCAAGCTATGCTCGTTACTCAGGGGAAAACGGTACAGAAGAGAGCGAGTGACGCAATTATAACACAAGCAAAAAGTACACTCTCGTGTGACAGTGGGCGGAGCAATGCCCTCATCCGATTCATGTTGCAGCCACTCACATCAATGCGCGAGAGTGGTTTGGGGAAAAAACAAACAAAATGAGCGGAAAGGTACTTTATAGATTTGCGCCGATCCCAGATAGCCAAGCGAGATTCCTAAAGCCATGCAATGTGAGGAACATTCGTGCAAGCTACCATGCCGATCAATTGATCGGAATAGCAAATGAACACTTGGCGTTTTTTTCTTAAGCGAAAAAAAAAATCATCTTGCAGTCACTCTAGCTCTTGGAACTTGTGGTAAACAGCGCTTAAATGAGAGGTAATGCAGTAACAATGCAGAAGTGGACCAATTCTGCTATGCAAATCACAGACAGAAGTACATATGCTTGTCAAGGTTACGCGAAATAAAAGAGCCGAGAAGAATCTGTTTGACTCAAATTGAGATATATCCGCGTGCTTGCATACTAGACGTTGAAAACGCACATTTTTTTTTTTTTTTTTTTTGCCACACAGAGGCACAAACCACGACCCACTTTAGATAAAAAGGCGGAATCGAGGCACGCTTACTGAAAATAATTTCCAGCGTAGTTTCCTTGGCTTGCAGTGACCGCTAATAACCAACGCTTCATGCAGCGAGCCCACACAGTTTTGTCTTCTCGCGCGTGAGCGAACGATATCACGATATTCAATACAGAGAAAGAAAAAGCACAAGTGCGGCCATATGCTCCAATATAAGAGAGAACAGTCTCAGAAGCCAACTCGACGCACGCGTACTCGTACGCAACATCTCTCTGCCTGTTCTGGGCATCGTTTCGCGGACAGCGCGGGGAAGCCAACATGTCTTCCATTAAACTGTGCAAAAGCTGCTCTGCACTGTCAAATGTCGCGCGCAGCCTCACATTGCCTCGGATAGCGAAGAAACGCCTTTAATTAAGGAAAAACTAAAACGCAGAAAAAAGAGGGCAGATGCATCAGCGACAATCGTGCAAGCAGTAGAAATGCGACTGCTGGCATGCTTCCTCCTCGAGCAAATATATCAAATACACGCAGCAAGTGACATCCGATCCGCCCGACTCGTATTACGCCTTCGCATTCCAAAGCTACGCTAGGTATCCGCGATGCCGTTGAAGATTGCAGGCAGTTCGTACAGTTGATCCGGCGATGGGAAGTGCCGAGAATCGGAGTCGTGGAGATTCCTCGCTGTCATGAAGGAACGCGCACGCGATTTGGGCGTGTGCGCATGCGTGGTTGCCTGTGTGGAGCCCCATGGAACGAACGGCTCACTGATCGCGATGGCGGGTCCGGCGCAAGACGGAGACAAACTTTTAAAAGGCTCTAAAATATCAGTTATTGTAGAGGAGGCTTTAATCGATGTCATTATAGTCTCTTTTAACTATGGTGGCAAGGTATTTCAAGGCGCATTGCTAGACGTCACGAAAAAGTAAGTAAATTTTGCTTCGAAAAAACCCTCCGGGGCTGTTTCCTTTTAAGCGACAACGCCAGATAGGCTTAGTTAGTGACTGCCTGTTGCCTTTAATTTCGCGACTGCACGCGATTTTAGAAGCGACCCGGTGCCGGAAAGTATTTCTTTGTGTCGTTCCGAACCCACTGGTACTAATTTTACTGGTGTGCGTCTAATATTTACGGATTTCGTCATTTTGAGGTGGTGCATGCACAATGCATAGGCTCCATGCCTTGTTCGCCTTTGCAAGGTGTTTGCACAGCGCGTCGCTCGATCTTGTCCCGAAAGTACACCCGCACTGTTTGCAGTTAACGGTTATCGCTCGCGGAGTAACCATTCTGTGTTACTGTTGAGTGATTTGAGTCTGTATCTGTGCTAGCCAGTGGTTTATTGAACAGATAGCTTAGCGTCTGGACACCTCGCTCGTTGATATGTTCCCGTCTATTCACTGTATCGTGCGCCGAATAAAATGTGGGTCGCAAAGCGTTGAAATGTAACGCATTATCACGCATTGCAATTTGTTTAAGAGAAATATTGCTTTACGTTCGAACAAAATTGCGCGCAATGAAACTTAATCTGGGCCCTCCATGTCGGCGTCTCTCACGGCGCAGGTGGTGTTTTGAGACGCGCAGTGGGACAAATAAAATGTCCATTCTGCCTTCTATTGCGTATGCGCACCAAGGGCAGCTAGTGCCAGATAAGACGACTATCATTCTGTTTGCTTGTTTTGAGATGCAGCACTTTTATGGTTGTTTCAGGAATATTCCCTTTGGCATCAGCCCTTGGGGTGGACTAGATCAAGATCAAAGGGGCAGCAGCACGCGAACGCTCGCTGAAGCTGTGGCGGAAAGAAGTGACAAATTTCATGCACTAAAGCAGAGACACACCTACTTCCAAGAAAAGCCCAATGATGAACTCCCTGTGCCAAGTCGATCGTGGGCGAAGTCGCGCAAATCAACAGGGCGCAACAGCCGTGACCAAAGTGTGCGCATGCGGCGGCTACGCCCGAGACAGGTGCTTTGCTCACATTGCCGGGCAATCTGCAATGAAAATTCTGAGAATGTGCAGCTTTCAAGTGTTAAAAAAGAGTCACCTCCTGTACTTAGCTCAGTTGGTTGCTTGCCTGTTTCCAAATGTGAACCTGACGTTCCAGCACGTATTCCTTCAAAAACTGGAGTTGCAAATGACGAGGACACTATGATCATACAGACATCCCCATCTCCTCGAACTGAGGAGTCTCCAAGGCCAAAGCATGCTGTCTATGCCAGTGTGGCCGAAAGCCTTGACTTAAAAAATGCCCAGCTGCCAACCCAGGCTGGAGCAGAGGAGTTTCAATCTAAAAGCGAGTATCAGGCTGTCGCCCTAATGCCTCCTGCAATCAATAGAATGATATTGCGCAAGCGCAAGTGGAATGATGCTGAAGATCTTCCACGAAGCAGCACAGACCCCATGGAACTGGCGACGCCACACAACAAGCTCGTTCCGGTTCGAGCTGCCCTGACGAAAACCAGTCCAGTGATTAAGATCTCATTTGCGAACCCTCAAGGGAAAGGCACAGTTGTCAAAATCCCAGCCAAACTCCAGTCCACAGGTGCCAGCGACACAGATGGAGACAGCAGCATAGAGTGCTCGCCTGTGAGACCTAGAGACACAAGTAGCGCCCGGGCTGCCAAGAAGGCTCTCAAGAAGGCTCACAGGGACCACCACAAAGGTCCTGCTCTTGCTCCAGCTTCTCCAAGCCTAGCAAAGCACAAGGTCAAGCATCACAAGCACAAACTGAAGCGTAAACGGAGACATCGTGAGCCGCCGCCTGATGAGCCACGGAATGATGTAGAGAACAGCCCTAACTATGGGCTGGAAGGTAACGAAGTTGTGGAACCAGCTGAAGGCTTACTGGAAGAAGGGCGTTCTCACAAGCTGTCCATCAGCCTGCGGCGCTTGGGTGCTAAGGCATACATGAGGTGCAGCCCAAAGTATGACGACCTTCTCGCCAGTAGTGGTTCCGGCAGCGAGTGTGGTGACGTACCCGAGTTCCCCATACTAGATCCGTTGCGTGAGATGGACAAAGTGAAGCCGCTCATGATGCGCATCAGCACACACAATGTTAAGCGCTGCACCCTTGATGGGGGCCGCGAAATGGCGGTGGGTGACATAGTTTGGGGCAAGATCCATGGTTTCCCGTGGTGGCCCGGCAAAGTGCTGGCCCTGAGTGTGTCACAACGTGACAATGGAGCTGCCATCAACCAGCAGGCCCATGTTGCCTGGTTTGGCTCGTCCACCTCATCCTACATGCCATGCCACCAGCTGAGCCCCTTTCTGGACGACTTCAAGGCTCGTTACAACAAGAAAAAGCGGGGCCCCTACAAGGAAGCCATCAGGCAGGCCACACTGGAGGCCGCTGCCTGCCAGGAACTGCCCCCAGAGTTGGCTCTAATCTGAACCTCATTGCTGGGCCATTGAGGGTCGTAAAGCACCACCCCCGTCCCGTTTTTACTTGGCTGCAATCATTGCTGATTTCTCTCTGCAAGTCCGCTGCATAACAGGGTATAGAATGTGATTCAGGGGTAATCTTGAATCATTGCAGTATACACATATATATATATATATACATATATATATATATATATAAACGTGTTACATATATATATATATATATATATATGTAAATAGGCTCTATTTTTGTTTGCCGGAGAAGTAGCATTTGCTACAATGCACCACTGGCTCTGGGCAGGTTCCGTGGTTTCTAGTCACGAGGGCATATGCCATTCACGGGCAGCAGGTGCTGCCCCTCTCCGGTGGGCCCGCTGGTCCGAGCAGTTGTAAACTTGCTGCGGAATTTGTCACTTGCAGCCATTTCCCAAAGTGAGGATGTCGAGTGCCTTTTCATCTCTTTCAAGCGTTTTCTGGGCCTGACATTTGGCCTCACTTAAGTCATAGTTTTGTGCAGTAATTTGCTTTTTTTTTCATATTGTTTGTTTTCAAGCCTGTTTCCAGGGAGGCTAATGTAAAGCTGTGTTAATCAATGATGTTTGCTGTACTCCACTTTTCTACAGGTAATGTTTCTTTATGCGGTACTTTCGTTTCATCCCTCCTTGACTGCCATGTTTATACCTGTGTATTTGACATTCTCTTTGTATTCTTGAGTGTGTTGTGCTATAGAAGCTTCTTTGTGTGCCATTTCTGCATTCATTGTAAAGTTCATTTTTTGTGAATCACTGCTTTTGGTGTACTATAGACCTTATGCAAAATTGCTGCCATCTGTCGGCCGTCGTGTGCATACTGCCATGTTAGCGGCTCGAGCGTAGCGCAGTATGCACAGTCCGTGTGTGCGTATGTATACGTAAGGTGTATTGACGTGAGGCGTCTATTGGCTGATAATCGCAACGCCGACGTTAATGAGCACTGACATTGCAGAGCACACGAGCCTCAAGCATTTTTGCCTCCATCAAAATGCTGCGCCCGGGATCGAACCCGCGACCTTATAATCATATGGTGGTTTCGGTTAAACCCCACATATTAATTAATTATTGAGTGTGCCGAGCACATCGAATACTTGAAAAACGTTAACAGTCATGCGCAAGTCATTTCACTAAACGGCAGCTTGTCGCACTCCAAAAGAGAAAACGAAAAAAAAAAAAAAAAACATGAAACAAAGATGCTTGAACACCGTAGCTCCCTTCTCAGAATGAATTGATGATGCACTCTTGCTTTTTTTCAGCGTGTGCCTTTACTGAAACGTAATAAACAAAACATATTAAATGAATTGTTGGCGCAATAAAGCTCGTTGCGTAAAGGTGGCTTCTGTGTAAATTGTACGAGCAACCTTCACTTGGTAAATGGTTGCTAGCGAAAACGTTGCAAAAACTGCCTTGCTTCGGCGTGCAGCAATTTATGGGAACACGAATACAAATGCTATTGCACGTCTTACTTACTTAAAAAGGAGAACGCAAACTTGTGTTTCGGGACAGTAGCCGGAGCACACGCTGGAAACATCATCAGCTTGAAAAAATAACAAGGGGCAAAGTTTACGGCTCATCTTTCTTCAGCATTCCAAGTTCCTCTCTGTGTGCAGCAAGGGACGCAGCAATATGCTGGCATTGCGATTATCTGCCAATACACGCCGCGCTCGAGTCTCTAGCATGGCGTTATGCACACAATGGCTGACAGGTGGCAGCAATTTTGCGTAAGGTCTATACTCCTAATTCTCACATGGTAACTTACAACCCAGTGCTCAAACTAGTGTCATCTGTCATCAGAACCACTTGTCACTACCAAGGTAAAGGAAGGTTGTGCATTAGATTTTATAGAAAACATGTTCAGCGTATCCTGAAGTATGCATTTTTTCTGCAATAGTACAACCAAAACAGCCGATCCTGCAGCTATCTGGGGCGCCTCGTGAAAGAGCTTGGAGATTGCTAGGGGAAACTGTTGGGAGTTGTCTTTTACTGCCATCGATTCAGATTGGTGTTCTGGCATTGGTCATGAGAAATTCTGGTAGTGCATTCAATGTCTGTTTTGTGCTTTTTGCCCGGAGGCTATCTATCGGGCACTGCAGCCATTTATGCCTAATGAACTTTACAAGAGCAAGAAGTGACTGATGACCCGTACTGATATTCTGTAATTTGCGCAGACGATCTTGTGTGCAGCTCCTGTGAAGTTAATCAAGAATGTGTTGAAGCAAGTGTTTTCCCAAAGTCGTGCTTGCATGTCTTTTGAAACCATTGGCTTCCAAAACTGACGATTAGAAAAACCTGTTGGTGGTAGCAGCTGCTGCATGTAGCAAAACTGTTCACCTGCTAGTTCAAAAGGGTTGCCTCAGTTAATTGTGGAACAGTTTTTTGGAAAGGGACTGGCATGCCAAGTACCCATTGAGTTCCATCTGTTGGTGCTTGTGGTAGCCACCCTTTAGTGTGCATCAATACATTAGGTTGGCTGGCCCCTTTGGTGTAAGTTGAAATGTTACTGTTGTGCATTTTGAAAAGTGTGTTAAGGTGGACATTTCGAAGCAGTGTGTCCTTGGACTGAATGCAATTGGGCAGTAGTCCTCATGCAACAAAGCTGGACCGCAGCAGACTCGTGCATTGTGTGATGGCCCCTACTGTGATGACGATGTTGACCTCGACTGATGTAAAGCTGTATGTCTCCTGCGTTGCACTGACTGTGAGGGATGCCATGGTTGATTTCATGACAATTCACATTGCAGGTATGTTTGACCTTTCCGGTGTGCACAGGCTGTGTGTGTGTGCTCTTAGAGGTAATCTCATTGTAAAAATGTGTACAACAGGTACAAGTGCTTGAAAAATAAAGACTGTATTCACTTGGAACAGTTTGTCCCAGGCAAATAAGTCATTTTTTGGTGAATGTGCTATGGCAAGGTCTACAGATTGTAGACTTGCAGTGTGTATATGTGCCACCACACTGTTTTGAGAAAGTGTTTTGGTGCAATACTGGCTAAGTGAGTCCTGGATTCCTCTTTTTTTTTTTTGTGGCAGATTCGAAGGTTTGCATATTTGGAGAGCTAACCTGTTCATATATGCCATTCTACATAGTTTAAATGTGAAATTACAGCAAGCATGTTTGACAGGCCTGTTTGTGAGTGGTCATGGTGCTACGGGTACCAATATACAGTCTCCTGGGAAGTGTAAATATGCTTCCTATAAACCGTAATATTGTGCACCGTGTAAAGAAATTATTTTTAAATATTGTTTTAGCCATGTTCACAGTAATAACTGTTGGCATTACTGCTTTTAATGAGTGTTCACTAGCTAACTTGGTAAACAATGTTTGTTGCTCTAGTAGGATATGTTACACAAAAGTGAGATGATCGTGAATGTGATCAAACAAGAAAATGAACTCTGCCTTGAAATCAAATTTCACAATTGAATGAACTATTGGTCTTGTTTTTGGCTAAGCTCTGTTACATGCTGTTTTTTTAGATTGAAACTCCAGTTGCTGTTGAAGAAATGAGCTCATTCAATGACTGATAGTTGTTATTAGAGGTGCCTTCACTGTTGCACTGACTTGTTTAGTTGCTGCTTTCTTTGGTCCCTCTCTTGGCAGCAGCGAATGACTGCTGCCAGGAGGAAGACAAAAAAAAACATCATTTGTTTAAATCATTTTACAGAATGGTTTCACGACGTTACAGCTGTATTCCTTCGAGTGTTCCATAGGTTTTGATATAATAATTAAAGAAATAGTTTTTACGTTGATTGTTAATTGGGGCCATTTCTTTAATGCAGGGGTCTATTCTGTTGTAAATTTTTTTACAATACTACCTTTGCAGCTTAACAAACCACCTCTTGCACTTGATTTTAAAAATTTCGTGGAATGTGATGTCTCCCAGAAATATACATTCAAAATAATTTTTCAAAAAGATGTGATAGGAGCAAAGATACTGTAAGCTCCATATAATATATATATATATATATATATATATATATAGAGAGAGAGAGAGAGAGAGAGGAAACACAACTTAGCTGTTGTCTTAATTTTATTACTAACGATTTCGACCCCACCGGTCTTCATCAAAATTTGCTAACAAGTTCGCAAACCCTGACAAAGACCGGTCCAACTACATTTGACCCTTTTGGAAAACTTCTCCAGTGTGTGTGTGTGTGTGTATATATATATATATATATATATATATATATAATATATATATATATATAATATATATATATATATATATATATATATATATATATATATATATAATTTTGCATTCTTTTCTAACACTCTTTGTTACGACAGAGTTGGGGGGGGGGGGGGGCTCTTGTGGGCATCACCACTGGAGGTGCCCTGCCTTCAACGTTACGTCAACCAGGCTTCAATGTTGCATTTTTTCTTTTTTTTTTTTTAGCAACTTGCCTGTGTCGATGGGTTCTGATGGCAACCTGCTCTTCTGGTTGCCTGCTTCTCGCCGTGTGGGTGGGCATTGACACCATCTCTATGCTTTTTTTCTTCTTCATTTTTTCTTTCAAGTGAAAATGGGCATGTTGGAGGTGTGTACCCTTATGCAGAGCTTGGTGTGCTTGCGAGTTTACGTAATCTTTATGCAACTTGTTTTGAATGGTGTGCATGTTTCAGCAGCAGGCATAACAGCAAGGCAACTAATTCTGCACCTCAAGCTTTGGGACTTGGCACTGCACAGAAGCTTTGTAAGGTTTGTGGAGAGTTATGAAATGTAAAACTTGGGAGTTGCAAAGACCTCGATGTTGAAAAGTGTGGCAGTAGCATTCCGCAAACACTCATAGGCTTGCTGGGTTCTGCAGTCAATAGCAGTCTTTTCCCAGAAGTGTGCAACTTGAATCAAAGCTTATAGAGCATTTCGCCTAATTCAGCCTATTTAATTAACTGCAACTTCAATTATGCACAGTGACTTCAGAAAGAAGCACATCGTATCTGAGCACTGAACTTCACTTATATTGACTCTTGGCCAATAGCAGCGATTTAAACTAAGCAGTACCAGCTGTGATGGCACAATGGCCATAACATTCTGTGGCTGCTTGCAAGGGTTTGTTTGATTACTGGCTTTGGCAGTCTGGAATTGAACTTGTGACCAGTCTAGCTTTGTTTTCTCTGTGAAAATGCGTGTATGCATGTGTGTGCATGTATGCGTGTGGGAAGTGGGGGGCTGAGTTCACACAAGACAACTATTAACTCCTGAAATGCCAGGCAGCAGGCCTACTAGGTAGGCCTGCTACCTGGCATCTGCTAGTTTCATGTCAACAAGAAATGCTATTATTGCATATTGAAACATCTTTGAGGCTTGCGAAGTGCTTTGTAGCACTGGGCAATGTTAGCTTGTAGTTATGATAGAACTGGGCAGCAGTATTCAGCCTTACTTGGATATAGGTGCGACATATTAGCTTGGCAATAAAAAGGGAATAGCCTAAAAGTTTTGCCTGTTGTAGTCTTTATTGTTAAAGACTTATAACAAAGGAGGTGCAAGGTGGGGTGAACACATTTGCCTTGTGCATCATGGTTCCTTTTGTTTCTGATCATTCACCTTTTAACTATTTTGGGCAAGTGTGGCTTGTTCGCTTGAGACAATATCTGCACATGACCATTTTGAAAGAGACTGATGGCAGCATTCACTCGGCAATTTCTTTTATTTTAAGTCATTTTGCGACTTGCATTCAGAAGATTTTGTCTAGTGACGACTATGCGTGTCTTGCTCGTTGTCCTGGAAGATACTCCTGTCATTATCGTAGAGCTAGCTTTTCAGGTGCTGATTATTGAGATACTGAAGTTTACATTGATGACTTGACGTGTTATATTTGCCAGTTACTTGACGATAACATTATTTGCAAATCATGAAAGATACAAATAGGTCGTGAAACAATAAGCTTTCGTATCCATGGTAGTTAACTTCGTTGACTTGACATGCACATAATTTTTTTTCTATCAAAACATGCCTTTTTAAGCAGAATATTCAATATCACATTGGAAATAAAAAAAGTGTTTTAGACATAACTCTATAAAGTGGTTTTTATAATACCCATGTCCATTTTCATTTTGCATTGCTATAAAAATTCTTCCTTTTTACTTGTTAGCAAGCTGGCAAGTGCAAGTAAAAAATGCGAAGCTTCACTGTCTCACTAATGCCATGCAGTGAAAGAAAGGCGTGGAATAAGCAAGCCGATAAAGAACTGGCGCATCTCTTGAGATGCACTTGAAGTCTGAAAAGCTCTTGGTCTGACTCCTTCCTGCTTTATGTAAGTATCCAGCAGCTGCCACAGGGTGTGGTGGAGCTGTTCAGCTCTAAATTGTTTGGCATTCAGGTTGGATGTGTGAATGAGTTCATTTGTAGTAAGGACAAGGGTGGCGTGGGGAAGCATTATGTATGTTGTGGTTTGGGTATTCACTGCATACTTGACACACTTGGTGTGTGAATGTTCTTGTTTGGTACAGCATCATTTACTGTGTGTGTGGCAGGAGTGGTAAAATAAGTCTTTGCATTTATTGAGTAGATAAGTGAGTTTTTCATTGCATAACATTTGAGGTGCAACAGATCTAGGGATGTGCCGAAATTGGTTCACCGTTTTTTTCACATCTTACTAGTTTGGGGTCATTTTATGTTTGTAGTGTTAATTTGTATTTAATCTTGCCTCACACATCTTCAAATTGCAAGAATTTCTTCAGCAAATGGTCCAATGGCACACGAATGATCCATAATCTGGTTCTGGTTGGGAGTGTGAATCAGAATGTGTCATAGAGGCACATTGTGCTCCCTAAAATTTGGTGCAGATAGTGTGTGCACCTTGTGTGTAATTTATTGTTTTGTAGAGTAGGCAAATGACTCCTCTAATGGCCTCTCTCAATCAAACAATCAATCAGTCACACAATCTTTATTAGTGGTGTCTAAAATGTAGTACATTGCATGTAAATAAATATGCAGGAGGAGGTCCTGAGGTTACAAACTACAGGTGGGACCTCCTTTGTTAATACCATGGAAAAACTAAAATATGAAACAGGATTAACACGAATGAAGTAGGATTAATGCGAGCGTCTTTTATGTGTTACAAGCAACTAAGACATTGCTGAATCTTTATGTTAGCACATTAAAGATTATATACATACTAAGCAACTTTAGAAAATAATGAAATACATCTGTTACATATTGAATAATCACTTTTTAAAATTTTTTTTTACAAGCATGAATTTGCATATCACTTATATCAATTGATATTGAGTTTCATGATGAAATTGATAAGAAAATAAAGCTCATTTTTCCTTAAATAATACAAACTACAGGTAACAAAAGGTTATTGGATACAGTGAGTATAGTTATGTTGGGATTACACAACGAAACAGCAGAAAATATGTTGGTAGTGAGGGTGTGGTAAAGAGCTTTAAAAAAAAACATACATTATAAGTACAGTTCGAGACTGGTAGTATGCCAAGCTGGACAAAAAAAAAGGATGTGATGGCATCTGAGGTGAAGGGAAGTTGTGAGGTACATTGCATGCTTTTGCAGTACTTTTTAAATGGCCAAATGTACACTGAAAATTAATTACCCTGTGATGTAATGTAATGATTGAGATGGCTGTGTATGGATGCACATACAGAGCCTTCAGAGTATTGATGCTAAAACACATTCCTGACTTGACCAATGCCCTTATACCATATGAAGTCTTTTTATTAACAAAAAATAATATGTTGGTGAAATTTAAAATGTGTGTCACCTGCAACTTCTAAAAATGATGATCTCTCAAAGGAATGACCATTGAGTTGACAAACAGGTGGGGAATGAATGATCATTTTTTGTTCAGTGAATGAAAAAGCATAAAACAAGTTTGGGAAGGAGTAATGAATCATCTATTATTTATGCACCATTCCATGAGTGAATTTAGGTTGGCCTAAATTCTAGACGCAAGAGTAATAAAATCCTAGTAATAAAAAAAAGGTTGTGTCATCAGCCAGCTGTGCGTAAGGAGCCTGCTGTGTCCGAGGAGACAATAACGACTTGCAACAGCAGTGTTTGATTTGGTGTCTTGGTCCGACGCTGCTGTAGCAGTTTCCTCTGCACTGTGAGAAGTGTTGGCACAGTATGTGTGGTCAGTGTGACTTGATGTATCTCTTACGCATTGGGAGAGATGAAAAATTCTTGAACTGGGGGGGGTGGGGGGGGGGTCACTACAGCCAAAATGGGCTCGTCTTTGTCGAGGTAGCAATGAAGACAAATCCACTTGATGATACGTTGGCTCCAGCAATACCCCATGTTCAAGGATTTTTCATCTCTTCAAGTTTCCATCTTCCCCACTTTATCTTTGTTTAGATTCCCACACACTAGGGTAGTGTCTCATAGTGATGGAACATGCTAGATACATTGATTGATTTGTGGGGTTTAACGTCCCAAAACCACCATATGATTATGAGAGACGCCGTAGTGGAGGGCTCCGGAAATTTTGACCACCTGGGGTTCTTTAACGTGCACCCAAATCTGAGCACACGGGCCTCGACATTTCCGCCATGCTAGATACATTGCTGATGTGAAGTCACGCAGAGCAGCCTTTACAGGATAATGCAATTCTGGGTCAAAGTTAGTGAATGGTGTTAGAAGTTCTTTGCTCGAATTGATCAGTCATATTTGGTATTGCAGCCACTTGTTCCGAGTTCTTAGCATTGGTAGAAATAGAGCTTTCATCTTCAAAGGAGCACTGACACAATTTTACTCTTTTTTTTTTTTTGCAAGAAGTAGCTGAGGACCCACTTATGACTGGTGACCTCGTTTGCTATGTGACTGTTAATTATTTGGAGATAGTTTTATGACACCCAATTGCAGTTTCAATTTCAAAGAGCACCTTTGTACTCCTGTGCAAGTCTATAAAGGAGGTGCTTTGTGTAAAGGTCTGCAGGAGAGAGCACGGCTAAGAATCATGGCAGCCAGCATGAACTCGAGATGCAGGTGGCTGTTGGTTGTTTACGATAAAACCAAGTTGTGTCGATATTGTGAGGTGAGGTGATCTTGCTTCCAGTTGCGTGGCATGCACTTAAAGATTGATTTAATGTATGTTTCAGGCTATGTTATCCGTTGGTATTTTGTAGATGATGTGTACGTGTGTCCACACAAATCTATCCCACAAGTTATCTTTGCCTCGACATTTTCTTTCGGTACTCCTTTAAGAACAATAGGCCATGATTTTTTTCGCTTTTCTTGTTGCGACCTGTTGAAATGCGGGCAACAGTATAGTTTTAATGAACCTTTTCAGTGTTAAAAAAACTCCCCTGGTGCCAGGTGCTAAAAACTTCACGAGACAGGTGCATTTAGGTTGTGGTGAGCGTTCAACTAGGCTAATATGACTTTCGCAGTTCCTGCTTGTCAGTATGAGCTTCTGTGACAGATTTATTTGAAGCATATGCCAGCATGCATTTTTCTAGCCCTGTTTAAAATGATTGATGAAAGAACTTCTGTACCCAATCCACTGAAGCCATCAAATAAGTTCATTTCGCTTCCTCAGAATACTAACATTGCAATCATAGTATTCTTTAAAGGAAGGGTACCTTTCATAGTTCTGAATTCACTGTTCTCCGAGATGGATACATATAGCAGTACGACTACTACTTCCTTTTTTTTTTTTTTTTCATTTTTTCCAAATGGGCATCTTACAAGAAAATTGTCCTATGTTTGAGCATTGACATCACTTTGCTGGATGTGACAATTTTCATGCATTCTATTTGAGAACTTACCTTTATTGCAGACACCACTTACCTCAGAAACAAGGTTGATGTGTCTATCATATGTAGCATAAAGGAAACATTGGGGTGCATTAAACTAATGGTGTTAAGACTAAGGAAACAGTGGAGCTGGTGGTGTTTCCCACCTCTCTTTCCTCACCCTCACTAGTAGTCCACCCGTGACATTTTATTTTATTTATTTATTTGCCAAAACTGCAGGACCTATTCGGGCCAAAGTAGGAGTGGGTACATAGATGTCAATAGCAATATCAGAACTGTAAGATAAAAAAAAATACTATACAGATGACAAAATATACAAAAATTGCCATCATCTATGAGGAACATAATAAATATATAGAAGCATTTTTAAACATCACAAAAAAGACTATTGACTAGATGAGCAATTAATTGTGTTCATTCACCGTTACCCCATTTTCTGGTAACTTGTTCCACAATGATAGAGCATGAGGAAAAGATTAATATTGATGTATGTTGATGTGACTGATTGGTTGGCTAACTGTCCTGTTATGATAGGTATGCTAACAGTGCATGAGAAGGTCGATTATGTAATGTTCGAGTGGTATCTTGAAGCAACCATGGTATAGTTGCTAAAGGAATTTTAATTTGGAGACTATTCTAAAAGGGCAGATACGTTCACAAAACAAGTACAGCTGGAATAAATGAACCTCAGAGCCAAGTTTTGCGCCCTATCTATTTGGTTCATTATTATTTTAATACAGAGTCCAGATAAAGTATGCACATTCAAACTTTAGCCTAATAAGGGTTTTATAAGCAGTTAGTTTTATAGTAGGTTATGTATGATGTAGTTTCAATTTTACAAATGCTAACTTATTCAGCTCGTTGCTAAAAGTGTCGTCTATATAGGGTTCCCGATTTCAGTTACTTGTGAGCGTTATACCCAATTACTTTATAACACGAACAATAGTTATTGTATAGGTGAATACTAATGGCTTTTATTTGTTCATAACTGTACTACAGACCGTCTTTGATGTGTTGAGCTTCAATCCTCTTTTATCACACCAGGCGCAGATGGAGTACAATGCATTGTTGAGTGTGGCTTGGTAAGAATGCTGATCAATGTCGGCATAAACAACACAATTGTCCGCAAAAAGTCGGATTTTCAGCAGTTACTGAACTGGGAAGTCAATATCATTTGTATACACCAAAAACAATATTGGTGCAAGTACCGAATCTTGCGGCCCTCCTGAGTGCACGTCTAATGTGTCGGAAACACCGCCATGAAAATGGCAAGTTTGGCTTGTTGGCACAACAGATGGAAGGACTTGCTCTGTAGTTCACCAGAATAACGTACCAACGAGCCAAACTCGCCACTTTAATCAAGTTCATTTTTAGTTCAGTGCTTGTCAATATCATTTGTGTTCCTTCTATCTGTTGTGTATTTTCTTGCACTGTATTGCACCGTCATCAACTGTCACATATTGTTTTCTTGACAAATAGCACATACCAATGTTGTGTTCAATAGCAATAGTATACTAGCTATCATGACGTGGTGTGA